TGGTCCGAACTAATTCTACACTTTATTAATATAGCCAAATTTGAGAATCAATCGTTAGTTTTGACGGTCAATACTGTTGACTAACGATCAACCCGCCACGTCACTGACCAACAAAATAAATAAACATAAAATATTCATAAATTCCACACAATCCCTAAAAATTATTATAAGTAAAGGAAAATTTTAAAAAATTTGAGAACTTAAACAGCCGCCGCTCTGGGTCTTGAGTTGGTAACCACCGTTTCGTTTCTCATATTTTTTACTTTTATAAATTTTTAATTTAATTATATAATAATTTCTAGAGATTATGTGAAATTTAGGAATTTTTAAGTTTATTTATGCTGACTGGCAGTGTGGCGGGTTGGTCATTAGTCACAGCCTTGACCATCAAAATTAACGGTCAACTCTCGGATTTGACCAAATTAGTAAAGAATAGAGTTAGTTCGGACCACAATATTAAATACCAAAAAAATTTGTTATGATTTTAAATATAGAAAAAGTTCAGGTCAAACAAATATATTAACCTTAAAAAGAACTAGAGTTTTGGTTTGAATAAGATATCAAAAAGTGGCGTAAGCAATAACTTGTCTAATGTCGGTCTGACATGAAAGAAAAAATTCATATAACTTTGTTAATGGTATACAATGATCAACGTATTTTTATATTCTCAAAGTATTTACTATATATTTTGATGAAATTATCATTCGAATATTTGATACATTGTTTTCTGTTTTTATCAATGTAAATATTCTTTGGTACATTTTTGCTATGATTTTATATAAATATTGTAACGATTTGATCTATGTGCTTAAGATAGACATTTAGCGTATTTTATACTCTTTTGGTGTTCTTTTATGCATTTCATAGATACAATACACTCAATAGGAATATTGATCATCAATGGATCAAAAGGAGGACGAGAATACTATCTTCAGAGCTCAAACCAAGATAGATTTGGACATCAAATGCTTATGTGATGGCTTAGAAAACCATATTTATGAAGGCTTACGAGTCAAACTAAGTCCAAATGAAGTGAAATTTGAGGAGCAACTCAATGAGCCCAAAGAGTTTCACACCAAAAGTCAGCCCATATGGAGTAGAGGCGGTGGTGACCGCCAGGAGGCCGTTGCTCGGACCCAAGCCCGTGGAATCTTCTAGAAGGTCCCTTACTTCGTCTCCATATCAAGAAATTCAAGTCTCACTCATCCAATGATACTTTTGGCCTATGTTTAGAAGGAAAACAACTAGCAACCCTTGTTTCCATGTATTATAAAGAGGGGCTTCTGCTCTAGCTTCTAAAAACAACTTTTACACACACTCTGCCCTAGAGGGCACAAATATTCCACTAGAGGATGAGAAATTATGTAGAGCGTTGTGGAGATGTTTTCATCATCGATGGTGGTGTCAGCTACCTCTTTTATATCCAAGCTAAGTCGATCATTGTTTGTTGATGTGAATTATATGATGTTTATGTATTAATATCTATGATTTAATGAGATGCTTTAGTCATTATATGCTTTTATCATTGGATGCTTTAATGCTTATATCATTATATAATTTATGTATGTGATGCTTATACCATTCGATACTTTATGTGCTTGATGTCTTTATTATTCGATGTTTACAACATCTATCTTTTATTACTATAATCAGTGCTTATAATATGATCAAATGTTGCATGGGAAACCCAACTTATGTGGTATGTATCTATCTTAGGCGTGTATGAAGTGAAGTGCACAACCTCTCATGCGTGAATAATGTAGATGCTAGATACTTAGATCATCAAAGCTATATTATAGACAATTATTATGTTTTATAGATCCCTAAATAGTTCATGTACAACCCATACTTCCTTGTTTGATTGATTAGTCTAGTGGCATGAAGCGAAAGCACGCATTAGCTAGTCATAATTCCTATTGCACATGGTGGAAACTCGAATAGGATGGCCTTAGTGGAAGGGATAGGGTTGCATCCTAAAAGATGCATCGATGCTTATCATTAATGAGATTGTATGCATGATCATCTAGATGAAACTACCTAAATAATGTCTTTTATCTTGCTTTCTTATGCCTTTATTATTTCGTTACTTGAATTAGATAGTATAGTGTCGACAACTAGGAACCTCAACCCATCGTTTCAATAACAAAAGATAAATCAAGTACTTTTTAATGAGAGGACACTTCAAGTCCAGCAATATATTGCAAAATGGGTGTACACACATGGTTAGTGCATAGCTATACCCTTTAATTATTTCTTAGTTGCACAAGTTTGTTTTTCTAATTTAGTGTTGAATTTATTTGTAACTATTCCATTCAATGCCATTGAGAATGATGAGTTCAAGCAAATGGTTGAGGCCATTGGTCAATTTGGTCCAGGATTGAAGCCTCCTACAGAGTACGAGCTTCGAGAGCCTTTGTTAAAAGCTGAGTATGCAAGAACTAAGAGCTTGTTAAGTGATCTTGAGGCTTAGAAGGAAAAGAACGACTCCTCTATTATTACTCATGTTCGAACAGACATGAAGAGGAGAAGCATGACGAACATAGTCACACATTGTGCTGAGGGAACAAGCTTTATAAAGTCTAAGGACACATTAGCAATTTCTCACACAGGTGAAGTCATCGAGGAAGTTGCAACTAAAAATGTGGTGCAATTTGTGATAGACAATGCTTCCAACAATATGGCAGTGAAGGCCCTCTTGTTGGATAAGAGGCCAAACATATTTTGGAGTTCTTATGCAACTCACACCATCAATTTCATGCTCCAAAGAATTGGCAACATACCAAGGTTCAAGAAGATTGTAGATCAAGCTAAGGCTTTCAACATCTTCATATATGGCCACCACCGCACCTTGGAATGCATGAGATCCTTCACCAAGAAGAGAGAAATCATATAAACAAGTGTGACTCGATTTGTTTCTCAATTTCTTGCTTTGCAAAGCTTGTTGGATAAAAAAGATGCTTTGAGGAAGATGGTGGTGGATGCGAAGTGGGAAAACATTAAGGAGACCAGTTTAAAGAAAGGCAATGAGGCTTATGACACGATTCTTAGTGTTAGGGTTTGGAATGATGTGGATGTTTGCTTGAAAGTCTTTGAGCCATTAGTGAAACTACTTCAATTAGTGGATTGGGAAGTGAAACCTTCTATGGGTTTCGTGTATGGTAAACTTTTGAAGGAGTAGAGAGAGAGAGAGATAAATGAGGCATTTAAGAATGAAGAACTTTGTTACAAAGAAGTCATTGCTTTTATGGATAAGAAGATGAGGCAGACTTGATGCTCCATTGCATTTAATGACATATCTCCACAATCCTCATTATAGTTATGCCGACTCAGCAATATTTGGTAATGCCAACATTACAACATCATTGCTCACTTGTGTTGAGCAATCTACCATGGTTGTGATGAGGATATACATGATCAGGTGGTGAATATTGAGTTCACAAAAATTTATAGGAAACAAGGACTCTTTGGAAAGAAGATGGTGAGGAATTGTGTAAACTTTGACTACAATCCTCGTTAGTACTTCTTTCATCATTTCCTTGTAAATTATGATTTAGTCTCGTTCACTAATTTAGAGTTAATTCTTTTCTTAGTGGCTTGGTGAAGAATGTATGAAGGTGAGATACCACATTTGCAAAAGATGGCTATAAGGATTCTGTCATTGACCGCAAGCTATTCTGCTTGTGAGAGAAATTAGAGTACTTTTGAGTCGGTTAGTAGTTTTGAATTCGTATCTATACACTATATAGTAAAAGTAGATATTAGATGCAAGCTTATATAATTGATTGTCCTTGCAAATTCATACTAAGAGAAGTAACAGGCTTACTATAAATCGCGTAATGGGCTAACAGTTCTTGCAACTAATCCTGCAAAATAATTTATCTGAATCCCTGCATCATAGACATACATATATACTCACAACCATATACATTGGCTTTTCATAGTCGTAATCACAGTTTCATACTCCACCACTTTATACCATACTTACATGACATAATCATCACAACTTACACAATCACACATATATACACATATCATCAACTTTCCACACATGTGGATATCTCACACTACATTAGAAGCTAGAATGCACATGAAAAATGTTCTCAAAATATTTCTACAAAAAGGTGTGGATCACTTGCCAAAATCCCGAGTAGTCGTCCAAGCATAGAATAGTTGAAGACCATATCTCATCTTGGCTTCAACTCTTGCTCAGCTCCCACCTATACACTTATCTACTACTGCTGATGATGATGATCTGCTTACACATGACATAAGCAGAGGTTAAGCTCATAGCTGAGTGAGACAATCATTGCATCGTGAGTTCATAATAAGCATACCCCTACAATACATCTAGCAATCAAGCCAAAGCACTAGGATCAGACCTTAGTCATCCGACATCCCAATAGGTAAAAGGCTCAACCACCTCGACTTATGCAAATGCATCGTATCATGTTTTACTTATGAGCGTCTCGCTACTCCCATGCTAATTACTCTCTCGGGAAAATGGACCAAACATCTCTTGGATGTGGTCATATCAGACCCACCACTGTCGGTGTAGTCATCGGACCTGACAACAGTGGTTTTTTTGTTATATTTGTGACACAATACATGTATTATCTTTTTCGTGGCCCACCTACAATCACTCAAAACGAGTGATTATCAATCTCTACCAAAAGGTGAGATTGTGACGAAGTGATTGTCTACCCTCTATTTTTTTTCATTTATAACAAAGCACAATGTGAACCTCCAAATAAGGTATTTTTCAAATTCATACATTTCATCAATATATCAAATTAGTATTACAATACACAAATTGATTAAATATTTGAATTCAGAAAATCCCAACCTTCAAACATATTCAATTATTCATACATTTAATCAATACATCAAATTACAATAGACAAACTCCGAAAAGAAGTGGCATTAGATTCTCTTACTTGAAAAAGGAAAACCACAAATATTTTCCCAAAAAAAGAGGAATAAAAAGTCCATTCAAACATAAAGGGAAGGAAAAGTCCAAAGATTCCGGAGGTGAAGGAGTTTAGATGCCGGCGAGCGGAGGAATTAGCCAGCGTCAGAGAGAAGTGCCACGGCGGCGCTGCCCATTGAGTCAGGTCAGGTAGGTTACTTGTTTGTTTCTGAGCCGCTAGTTTGGAGCTGAACACGTGGAGGTTCCGCCAGCAAGCAAAATGAAAAAGCAGAGAAAAAAAACCAAAAAAAGGTCGCAATAGAAAGCTTTTATGCTTCCCATATGATAATCGACTCTGCTCCTTCTTCTCCCCTTTTCTTCCATAAACCCTCCTAAACCCCCGTCTTCGTGAAACCCTTGATCTGAAAGGATCATCATCCCTAAGCAAAACTCGAAATCCCCATCTTCTCTCCTTCCAGCCATTCTACCCAAAGTCGTGTGCTTTCTGATCCAGCGGGGGCGCAAACGAAATGTGGAGTTAGTTAATCGATTCCCATAAATGTGGAAGGCACAGCCATCTGGCGCAACCAACACCGCCGCCGCCGTGAGAATAGCAGAGATTGCGCCCAGGGAGGAGGAGAAGGCAGAAAATGACGGGCCGGAGAGGGGAAGGGCTCGAATCCGCCGTCGTTTCACTGGGGACAAGGACTTGTCGCCTGGCCCTGCCTACTATACCATCTGCGCTCTTGGTGGCATGCTCAGTGCCGGCACCACCCACCTTGCCATCACTCCTCTCGATGTCCTCAAAGTCAATATGCAGGTTCAAATTACCAAACCACATTTCACTGCTTTGAATTGAATTCACCCCAATGCTCGATCTTCCTTCAGTTACTTTTCCCTGCCTAGGTTATGGGGTTTCTCAGCTTGTTGTTGATTACTGACCAAATTGATGTGAGAAGTGAAGGAATTGGCGTGTTTTGTGTATGCTTATTATGGTGCATTATTTGTAGAACTGTGAAAAATTCCCACTTTGGGTACTTCCCACTTTTCTCTTTACTAAAAATTGTAATCACCAAAAATCGTTGCCACTATTTTCCCTTTTTAACTCTCTCAAAAGACTGTTGTGTTGTGCTCTGCTGTAGGTGAATCCAATAAAGTACAGCAGCATAGTGTCAGGATTCTCAACCCTTTGGAAAGAACAAGGCCCTTCCTCGCTTTGGAGGGGTTGGTCTGGCAAGTTGTTCGGATATGGTGTTCAGGGTGGCTGCAAATTTGGCCTTTATGAATACTTCAAGACGTTTTACTCGGGATTCCTGCCACTTCAAGACCGTACCTCCCTATTCTTTCTCAGCAGTGCTTCAGCTCAAGTATTTGCCGATGTTGCGCTCTGCCCATTTGAAGCTGTTAAAGTTCGTGTTCAGACACAGCCTCACTTCGCCAGGGGCTTGGTTGATGGGTTCCCTAAAATCTACAGGACTGAAGGCTTAGCTGGGTACATTGATTCCCTTTGATAAACTTCGGCTACCAGAGTCTTATTAATTCTATCATGAGTGTGCTATCAAGAAGAATCAGTTCTTATAACTGGAGTTGTTGGGACAAAGTCAAGTTACTTATGTTTTGTGTTTTGTAATGTTCAATGCAGCTTTTACAGGGGGCTTTTTCCACTGTGGGCTCGCAATCTTCCATGTATGTAGTAATCTTCTGTTTCTTCTCATGCTTGTGCTTGCACTTCTGTCGTTCCTGTATGACTCTTACTGTTGACTTTGTGTTGGCAGTCTCGATGGTAATGTTTTCGACGTTTGAGCATTCAGTGGAGCTAATATACCACCACTTGATCCAAAGGACGAAGGAGGATTGCTCGAGAATGCAACAGCTCGGTGTGACATGCTTGGCTGGATACACAGCTGGAGCAGTTGGTACTGTGATCTCTACACCCGCAGATAATATTGTTAGCTCTCTTTACAATAGGAAGGCAGACAGTGTGCTTCAGGCAGTGAGGAGCATTGGGGTGGCTAATCTCTTCACTCGAAGCCTTTCTATTCGGATCGCCCTCGTGGGGCCTGTCGTTACTTTGCAGTGGTTCTTTTATGACACCATCAAAGTACTAAATGGACTGTAAGTTTGAAACCATTCGATTGCAGCAAATTTCATATCATACGTGCTTAACATTTACAAAATGTTAGGAAATCCAGAATTTGGGAATGCTAATTTTTAACACTTTGAGACAATCTTCGTGGCAATGCCAGGCCTACGAGCGGAGGGTTGAGCAGGGAACATGAAGATGGCGGCATATCTGCGTAACTTGATATATGTAAGTAGATACATATGCATAGGTGACGGTATTCTTGTTGGATTTATGATATAAGTAGATACTTAGTACTATTGATGTGATTTTTGAGACAGAATTGTATTGAGTGTGCGCTTAATGCAAGCTCTGAATCTTTAAGTTGGAGTTTGTGAATTGGATGGTGAACTATAGAAGGGTGTTTTAGCAGGAAGAGAGAAGCCACACGTATATAATGGCACAGTATTGCTGAGTTTTTCCTCCAATAGCCAGAGAATCGTTTGAGGTTTTCCTCGGCTGTTGCGTCCTTGGTTGGTTTCTGTCAACCCACAGGCACATATCAGTCTTGCAATTTCTTCTGTTCTATATACATAGGCTTGTTTAATTGAATGGTCCAATCCAATTTGAGTGAAGTAAGATGACAAAGGTGATAATTATGTGATATCTGATAACTATTAGTTTGTCACCTTTGGAACCCATTTGAACGTGCTATTCAATCGATTCCATTTGCTAGCTGCAGATTCTTTCATTCCACAATTTTGTCGAAATTTCTCTTTTCCTTTTTCATATTGTATAAATTTCTCTATTTAATGCATTTTCTTGCATGGCTTTAACTAATTCCAAGTTGGTTGGATTGAGAAGGTTATGAGAGGATTATGAGTGGGCTTTTACATATCATTTTTACAATTGTTGCGCTAAAGAAGTTAGTTATTCACATCAACATTGCTATTGTTGTCTCGTTCAACCAAGTGGATTAAGGTTTGGTGGTCGAATTAGTTTGGCTTGATTGAACTCGGAGTTTTGAAAAAAGTTAATGTTGATTGATTGATTGTTTATTTACCATCTTCAAATCAAAGTAACAAAGACTTCTTTTATGAAGGGTACTGTTAAGACAAAAAAAGATATTCTCTCACTAATTTTTTTTATCTGAGCGTTGAAGCTTAGGTTTTGATTGCCATCGTCGCCGATGGTGACGGCCGCTCGTGGGCATCTATATTCGGGGTACCAGAAGGATGACTTTAGTCTTTAGTAGTACAAATGGGAGATAGTGATTGGATCACTGTGAATTTCAAAGAAAGTAGTCGACGAGGGAGCTCAATAATGCATAAATAGTCTGGTGTAACAGTTCTTAGGTAAAACATCAGGGTTGGGATTGCTCCGTTTGAGGGCGAACTGGATTTGGGGCTGTAAGGGTGAGATTCGAGTTTTGGTGTTTGGAGATCATCTTGTGCTTTTTCAATTTCCATTGCGCGGATGTCTACAATTGAGTGTTTGAAGGTGGGTCATGGCACTGTTAGGAGATTATGCCATGTTTGCGACGGTGGGAGCTAGGTATTCAACCTCTGAAAATAGATAATTCAGAGGTTCCAATCTGGGTCAGGCTTTCGAACATCCCATTGGAACTGAATTCCAAAAAAGGATTGAGGAGTCTTGCTAGTATTTTGGGTGAGCCCTTATGTATGGATTTGCCTACTAGGAATGGGGATAGAGTAGGCCGTGGAATATTCTCAACTTCCTATAATTTGTTCAACTTGTAAATGGTTAGTTCATGATTATTTTTGACATGTGAATGGTATTATGAAGAAAATTTGGGTGGTTAAAAGGAAGAGAACAGTTGAGCTGATATCTTCTGAATGAAATGAGAAGGGCAAGAGGGTTGTGAACTCCACCTATAGTGATGACCTAGTGCACTTCCGTCGACAAAGGATTTTAATATAATGGTGAATGGAGCAAAACCTAGAGTTGTGCAGATCGATCCCCCTATGGTAGCAACTCTTTTGTTGCTATTTGTGCCAAGCTATTAGTGATCCTTACCCCATTAACAAAAAAAGCTGGTCATGAAGGATTGGGGGGGAGTAAGGCCTACAGCTCGACCAAGTAAATGAGTATGCTAATATAGAATGCAAAGGGCTTCGATGTCCCTTTGAAGCACGATGCACTGCTTTATTTGTTGTAGTAGAGACTCGGGTCCAACAGATAATTGTGAGGAAAATTCAGGATAAGTTAACATGGTTTTAGTTTGCAGATAATTATAGTAAGAACTCTTTGGGTCGAATCTAGATTGCCTGGTAGGATGGGGCTAAACTTAGATGCTTGAGGAAGAGGAGTTCTACATTCACATGTTAGTTTCCATTGATTATAGAGATAAGTTCTTCCTCACTAGTGTGTTATACCCCTTAGTCAGCCTCTTTGATCATGCATGATTCAAATCTGCCACGTCCTAGATCTTAGATGCACGTCCTAGATCTTAGATGCAGTACCAACCAAGGCTACTATCTCAATGAATGAAAGATTAATTTTTCCATTTACTAAAAAAGAAGTCTGGACAACTTTGAAAAAAATGGGACCAAACAAAGCTCATGGAGCAGATGAAATTCAACTCTCTTTTTCCAGAAGAATTGGAAGATAGTTGGACCAACAGTTACTCAGGAAATCCAAGGCTACCTAGAAACAGGAATCTTCCCACAACAGCTATGTCATACACTGATTATTCTAATTCCTAATACGAAGATGCCGATAAAGCCTGTGTATTTTCGACCAATAAGCCTGTGTAAGATACTTTACAAGATCTTATCAAAAGTCTTAGCCAACATACTAACCATTATGGATGAGATAATAGATGAAATCCATAGTGTATTTGTGCGCGGGCCATATATCACTAACAATTTGATGATTTCTTTCGAAAGTTTCGTTGTAATGAAGAATATAACAAAAGGGAAGATGGGGTTTATGGCGACAAAACTCTACATTACCAAAGCTTACGACCGAGTTGAATGTCACTTTCTGAGAGCAATGATAGAAAAATCAGGATTTGTAGATCAATGGATTAAGCTGATAATGCATTGTGTAACCACAATCTCTTACTCTACACTAATTATTGGGCACCATAACGAGAATTTCTATCGAACCAGAGTTTGCAATAGAGGGACCCTATTTCACCATATCTATTTCTACTATGTGTTGAGGGACTCTTAGCTATGACAACCAAATATGTGATTGAAGGAAGGATCCAAGGACTTCAAGTTACAAAAATGCCCCGAGAGTATCTCACCTACTATTCGCAGATGACAATATCTTTTTTTCGGGCTACAGGTGTGGAAAGCAGGGCCTTAAAAGAGATACTCAGGGTTTATGAACAAGAATTAGGACAGATGGTCAATTTTCGCAAATCAGAACTCTCCTTCAGTTAGAATATTTTAGAGAACCGAAGGGAAGAACTGGATACCATTATGTAGATGAGCATGTTCCATACCATGAGAAATATCTAGGCCTTCCTACTATGGTTGGAAGAGAAAAAATACAGGTATTCACATATCTGGTGGATAGGGTGCGAAAAAGGTAAACTTTTTGAAAAACAAAGGACTATCAAATGCACCTAGTGAAGTGCTCATTAAATATGTAGCACTTGTCCCATGCATTGTATGCCATGTCGGTCCTCCTTATACCTGAAGGAGTTTTGGATGGGATATGTCGATTAATCGCATGTTTCTAGTGGGGAGAGAAGAAAGAGGAGAAAAGAATGCATTGGACCAGCTGGGAGAAATTATGCAGGACGAAAGAGGAAGAATGTATTGGATTTAGGGACTTACATGGCTTTAATCTGACTTTACTAGGAAGAGAAGTTTGGAATCTATTGCAAAAACAAACTCCCTAGTGGCCAGAATCATGAAGGCAAAGTACTTTCCAAATTCACCACTTCTAGAAGCAAGAATGGGCTATCGCCCAAGTCACATATGGAGGAGTTTAATGGCTACCAAATAAATAGTAGTTTTGGGGACACGATGGAAGGTTGGGGATGGACGAAGCATCTAAGTTTGGTGGGATAAACGGATACCCAAGGCTAAGAATTACAAAGTGGCAACTATTGTGATTGGAATGTCTACAGACGGCTGTTGACACTCTTGTTGACCATGATTCCAGAACATGGAAACATACTTGCTCCAAACCTACTTCTATCCACCGGATCGTATAAGAATTATATAGATACCTATCCCCACGAAAACTAGTTAGAGACAGTCAATGTTGGGGTTCAGAGAAGATGGGACAATACAGCGCCAAATATGATTATACTCTATGGTGGAAAAAAGCAGGGAGAGGAGGAAGGTGAGTGGTATGTTCCAATAAACTACGCACGTCTGTGGAAACTGAAGCTACCCCAGAAAGTAAAACTTTTCTTCTGGAAATGGGGACTAAACATCCTACCGACGAGCGCAAATCTTAGTTCTCGACTACATAATGATTATGATGGATGCTCTTTTTATGGACTTTCCGAGTCACTAGAACACATTTTTTGAAGTAGGGTCCGAACCAATCGAATTAGGAGACCATCCCAATTAACAAGTTGTTTCGAGAAAGGAGATGATAAAACATGTGAAGAATGGATTCGCGAAGATCCAGAGTCCTATGACGATGATCGACTTATGCATTATATCATGCTCCTATGGTTTATTTAGAAGGAAAGAAACAACCATCTGTTCAACAACGACAAACTAGAGGAATGGGAGATCTTTGCCAGATCAGAATCTTACCTGGTGGATTTTGTGGAGAATCAGAAGTGTGAAGAAGCCCTAGAACGAGATCACATTTCTTACTCATGGCAATCCCCTTCGCCGGGGATACTGAAGATCAACGTCGATGTTGCAGTCTTTGACGGGGCTGACACAAGCATGGCGCTAATTGTTAGAGATGATAGAGATTTTTTTCATGGCAGCGACTTTAAAGTGGGATCTTCGCCAATGGCGGCCGAAAATGGCAGAAGGCCAAGCAATCCTCTAGGCATTTCGATTTGCTAAAGAACAACAGTTATCATCGTTCATTCTAGAGACAGGTCGCCTAACCCTAGTGTCAAAGTTGGATAAAGAAGCAGCCTCCGCCCTGGAAATTGGAGGAGTATGTGAAGAAATCAGAGTTAAGGTGGAGGAAATAGAGGAAGTTTAGGTTGCGCTGTTGGGGAAGGAACGAAAATCGGGTCGCCCATACCCTTGCCCATATGCAATGTATGTAGTTGGGATGTATAGGAGAAGTGGCTGGTCATCAGACCACCAAATTTTATTGTTGATCAGTTGAGGTCTATACAAACTTGTAACTGTCATTTTGCTACCCAAAATTAATAAAAGTTACAATGTAAAAAAAAGAATTTATAAGAATTCCAGGATACCACACTTACATTAAATTTTTCAAAATACAAGAATTCAGTGTGATTCGTTGTAGTTAGAGGTGTCAATTCTCAATCCAATCCACCAACCCATTAAAAATATCCACCTAATCCAATCCATTTAAATCCAATCCATTTGATCCAAATGACAAATTACGGTTTGGTACCTATACTCTTTATATTTTACATTTTAATTTTTTATACGAAAAATATCATTGGAAAATTACGTTTTGGTACCTAAAATTTTTCATTATGACATTTTGGTACCTAAACTTATAACATTTTACATATTGGTCCTTGGTTGAGGATGTCATTTAGATTCATGGATAATCCACCAATCCACTTGATCCAATCCATGAATCCACCAATCCATTTGATCCATGGATCCACCAATCCATGCATCAATTCATTTGTTTGTAGTGTCCAGCGATCTTAGTAGTAGTTTGTTGGAAAACGGAGTTATCCAACACATATTGATATTGCTTCAAATGGAGGCTATGTACATAAATCGCTGACTAAAGATGATGGTGATGGTGACGATGATGGACCGATGAAAGCAGGTGGAACATATGCAGAGCATTAGTCGGAGACTTGTATTGTATTTTGGGTCAAAGTACTAGCCGGCCGCCGCTGACGACCTTTCCTTGCTAGCCACCCTGCTAATCTGGCGTTGTATATTACACCACCAGAAAGAATATGTGGGAAGAGAAGGAAACCGCGTTTGAGTTGAGTAGCAGTAGTAGCCTGTAGGGACAGAGACAGAGACGGACACAGAGAGTGAGTGGCGCTTTGTCACTTGTGGGGAGCCGCCAGCCTGCCTACCTGTTGTTACCTGGTCAGCACTATCCCCAAATTCCAGCATTAACGCTTTTTAATTTCTCTGTTCTTTTTATTTATTTACTAGTACGGAAGCCCGCGCTTCGCGGCGGGAGGATTAGAGTGTTTGATCTTCGAATTCATAAGTGAGGGGGGAAATATGAAAATAGAGTTATTATAATGCAATCAAACAATCATGATTTGTCAATAATCATGAAACAAATACTAATGAGCTTGTCAAATGAATACTTAACCTGACAATTGATATCGTAATCAACTCAACACCTCAGGTGTGGAAGGCAATGAATCCTACAATTTCTTTGCTTACATGTTCAATGCATAGAACCTAGGGGCAGCAGCAGTCGACCCAGCTTGGTTATCAGACTCCAACTTCACCTCGAACTCTCTCGACTCAAATGGCAGAGCCCAGCAGTGAACAGACTTTTCCTACCATCATAGGCCACCATTTTGTTCCCCAAATGAGATTGACGGTATAACTTGTCCAGTGTAGAAATGACATCTCTGTTGACCTTCTTCGAAGTAACCTCCGGGGTAATAGTGACCTAAAACCAAGCACATTCATGAATCAATCATCCGCACAATAGCATTTTCAAGCATATAAATCCAGATCCCCCCTCAATGCACAACCCTAGGAGGTTTTTTTTTACAGCCAGCTCTTCTTCGCAATCCTCGTGAGATGGGGGAAACAGTAAGGAAGAGTAAGACAGAAACAGAATCATAACATAGCAAATGTGTGAGCCACCACACCGTGATAGACTGTTAGGTAAGTGATAGTCTGTTCACTGCTGGGGCTCTGCCATTTGAGTCGAGAGAGTTCGAGGTGAAGTTGGAGTCTGATAACCAAGCTGGGTCGACTGCTGCTGCCCCTAGGTAAAATGCTGCTTCCTGTTAGGTAATATAGGTAAGACAACGGTGTTGCTAAATACTGGATAATATAGGTAAGACAACGGTCGAGCACAACGACTTTCTGCGCAGGTGTTGACTTTTCCATTAGTTTATTGTTAAAGCTGGCTGCGGTCGAATGCAGAAAGTATAGTAAACTCCAGAGGAGTCTGAGCCAGATTTCCAGGTTTAGGGAGTTGCACACAAAACGAAAACCAACATCCATTCATGGCCACAATTTTCGGAGGGAAATGGCCATGGTGGTGGGGGTGCTGCAGCAATAGTTCGGTTGCTGTAACTCCAAGCAAAGATTCAGCGGTCTTTCCAAGTGCGACGAAGCACGCCGAGCCAGTAGTGTCTCCGACAGCCAAATGAATTTTGTAGCTGTAAAAATGTATTAACATTTCAGGGTTGAATTGGGCGTGCCCACTTGATTGATGGGGAAAAGGTGGATTTAAAACTAACCACTTTTCGGTAGCTTCAGGCTTTAGTTGGCCATGGTCTTCACAAAAAAAATCACCAGAGCCAGGAAATTCCCTAGCTGTCTTAAAGCAAAAGGCACATCCTAAGTAGAACCATGATCTTGAAGACTCAGTGGAGAGGACTTGCGCCAAACAATAGTACTGGGTAGCCTGTAGGTAAACAAAACTGGTGAGAAAAGTTAGCTAAGCAGGGAAGAAATTTGTTAGTTTACTGGGGAAAGGGACTGGAAAAACAGATCCATCTAGTGGTGAGGCAGAATACATTCTGAAACATGAAAATAATGGCTGGCTACATTAATAGTGCAGATTATGCTTTAACCTGGCATGTAGTAATAAAACACAGTGCTGTTACAGTAAAAGTTATGTCAAAAGAACGCACGTCAACCATTGGATTCCTGGAAAGGCGGATGAGGTCCATAATTGTCTTGGTACTGTCAGTTCGAAACATTTCCTCTGCAAAAGAAGTGGAAAAGTATGGAGGATAATATCGGATCGTATCTGTACCACCAGTAGACCTACAAATTCGAAAGTATATGAGATAAACGGAAAGTAAATTACTAAAAACGGCAGCTTGTAAGAGACTTACGTAGCACGCAAAACAGTTGCCAAATCAGAGGATGGCTCCAAAACAAACCGTGTGGCGGAGGTGCTGGTTAAAAAAATGCCGCCTTTGGTAAAAGTAGGAAAGCAGATGTGAGGCGTCGTAGAATGGAATAGCAATAGCATTAACTGTGAGGTAGAAAGATGCACTGTAAACCTGCTGTGGCGTTAGTAACTTGAAGACTGCATACACCAAGTATAACAGAGCCCATGCGGCCAAGGTATGCTAGTTCTTCTCCATCTAGTGATCGAGCAACATCGCCACATATGGTGATGTTAACACGTATATTTCTGCAATAGTAAAGTGCAGGCAAGAGGGAGATGATTGGAATTCAGTTAAATCAACTACACATGGAAAGGTACACAACCGCATTGCACTGAAGACCTTTCGTTCTGCATGACCAGTTTCCGCCTAATAACAGCACCAGTGGACGTTGCTGAACAGGATAACCCGCTCACAGACACAACTCTGCCAACAACATCTACATGTGAAGATGTTTTAAAAGATCGTCAATTCAGTAGTGCAAACATCAGGTGAAGTATATGTGATGATATTACAGTAATTTCCAGGTGAACCTATGAGCTGGTTTGTTGAGCGAGTCAAGGCGCGCAAGGAACTGAAGTGGAAAAACTCAAATGAATCAGCACAGAAACCCGGTGACAACATGGTCACATCCTCAAATATGGTTCCCTGAGAAAGAACCAAACTAAATCTATGCGAGCAAGGGCGGCACATTGGCTGTGATTTTGCCAGCTGGTATCCAGTAACTAAGTAGACACACCCTAGTTGCAAGTGTGCGCCAAATCGGTGACCTAAATCTGGTGTCGCGATGGCCTGGATCAAGGTTCCCTGTTAAACAGGGAGGAGGCGAAGCAAGAGAAATGACCGAGGAGCACAATTTGAGCTGGCAAGTGGAACAAAAAACGTTAAAGGAAATGCTATAGTACCTTGTAATCGGTCCAAAGACTGCAAATTTGTGAGAGGATGGATGAATTTTCTGTATTGCAATAACCCCAAACATGCAAGAGTCGTATCTTGAGAGCAGTTTCTACCCCTTCAGTTCCATTCAAATCCAGAAGCAGCTTTAGCCGAAACATGCCTCTTTTGTGAGGGATTTTGGGGACGAAGAGCGAACCGGATGACACCAGAAGGAAGGCGGAACAGGCACAGTATGCTGATTTAGGATGGTTGTGAGGAAATAACGGAAGAAGAGTAAAGTTGATGAGAGAGGGTGGAAGGTGAGATAAGAGCAGGGATCTTCCTAAACGTTGAATAAAACAACAAAACATAGAAAATTTCTCTCGAACTGTTCAGTGTCTCTGCGGCCCAAAATGATCCAAAATACAATAAACAATGGTCGTAGAAGGAAAGACTAAAAGACAAGTGGTGTGAAGGGAATCTATTACTTTTCAACTGAGGCAACAGTGGTATGTGTAATTATTTTGAGATCTAATATACCAGAACAGTAACGACACAAAAGTGAAGACAGAACAATCCAACACATTTAAAAGAAAGGAACTGCAGAAAGGGCATAGCTCAGACGAATAAAATACGAGCATTCATTGCAAAGTACATTGTTTAGATCTAAACTATTTGGATGGTTGAGCTTAAAGGATAGCTACCATACACAACGTACCAGAACAGTTTCTGTCCAGAATGGAAATAAAGATGGACTATTCCAATTCTCAAAAGATTTAATTAACTAATAATGTTGCAATCTATGTCTTCTGGCCCTGCGTTACTTTGATCCTTCCTCAGGCAACAACCCATTTAACTTCTTAGTTCCAAGAGCTGCAATAAGAACAGACATGTGGGTATTATTGGTGCGCAAAAAATGGTTGTGCCCAAGAACACCAATGTTCCACTGAATGCAAAACAAAAGTAGGAAGGAATGTACCTTCTTTGACTGCAATGTAAGGGCTTTGGTCAGATGCGCAACTTAAGTTCTAGCAATGGGCGAAATGCTTTTGAATCCCAAATCGCAAACATGCGGATGTGTGGTTCATCTGAATCTTCTGATCCCACGATGTACAGTTCTGCCATTAGCTGAACATTGCAGAATGTTTTGAGCAACTCAACTCTCTCGTCATATGGCATCATCTGGAACTCGAGCGGTGGCATACGGATTAGAGCAAGAGCAGGTTGATGATTCAGAACAATTGTTGCAGTGTGATTTCCTGATTCGCATTCAGCCTGCAATTCGTAGTACAATCTAAACGTATACGTAGATTAGAGATGTGGTAGCAATGAATTGTTACTTAACAATAAGGAAAAGAACAGTAGTCGTAGTTTGGAAATACTCAGTGTCTTCAGGAAAAGTTTTGCAGGTCTCAGAACCAAGATGGAACTTAAGTATCTTCAATTTGCATCGATAGAGTATCTGTCATATGGATTGAATTAGGAAAAATGTCAAGTCCAGTTTGTGTGAGTAACTAATAACATTTATTTTGTTGGAAGGCCACCTGAGGATGCTTGATAATTGTAATATATACTTGATTAACAATCTACAGGTGCACAAAGAAGGTAAGGAAAGTCACCTCAGTTTCCATTTCTCCTAATGGAACTTTGGTCTTCAATTCCAGCAATGAAATTCTGGGAGGAATCTTGCGCCGAAGGTATCCAAGGCGCTCCTTCGAGCTGTAGTCAATGATGTCCACTGGCAATCTGTTATGAAAGAACCTAAAAGGTTTGTTGTGTTCCATTAGCTAAATGATAGAAGAAGATGCATATAATGGAAAGAAAGCTTCAAATAGTACAGCATACCTGTTCATTAAAAGATGTGTCGTTTCATTGTATGGGTGGACAATGAGACGGGTCCCAGGAGATGTCACGAAACAAAACGGCGGAATATGGGTGAATTCGTGGACATTTCGGGTGAGGCCTGTTGCTGTAATGATCAGAGGATAATGCACCTCGCTTCCATCAGCACTATGAATGAATTGTTTAATCCGCGTTCCGATGTAGCTCACAAGTCCTTTATTGCCACTATGAAGTTGGAAGACAACTAATGTGTGTTAATACAGACCAATTTGC